CGGCTGCCTCGCCCCAGCTCCAGACGGCGCCGTCGGCGGTGATGGCGAGGCTGTGGAATGCTCCCGCCGACACAGCGACAACGCGCTGGCCCGCCAAGGCCTCGACCTTCTTGGGCAGCAGCTGGTTCTGCCAATTGTCGTGGCCCAGCTTGCCGTGGCTTCCAGCGCCCCAGCTCCAGACAGCTCCGTCGGCGGAGAGGGCGAGGCTGTGCGCCCATCCCGCCGACACGCTCACGGCGCGCTCGTCGCCCAGCGCCGAGGTGAGGCGCGTCGGCGTGTTGAGCCGCGTCACGCCCTCGCCGTGCCCGAGCAGCGCTGGAGTCCAGGCCGGCGCCGTGCCGCACGACGAGAGCCGCCCCTCGCCGTCGATAAAGATGCTGTGATGTTCGCCTGCCGCCACCCTCGCCGGCGGGTTGGACTCGCTCAGCAGCGCAGCAAAGCACAGCCACCGCACGGCGCAGCCCTCACCCTCCGGCGCAGGCGCCGGCAGCTCGAAGCCGCGTTCACGCGCCCACAGGCGGATGCCCTCAAGCGCGAGCGAGGCGTGGAAGAGCAGCGAGACGGCCGCGGCGCGAGCGATGTCGGCGGGGTCGCAGCGAGAGATGGCGCGCACGAGGAGCTCCGTGGGGAGGTCGAGGAGGCGGGTGGACGGCGGCGTGCTTGGCGAGGGAGTGGCGGTGGAAGCGGGCGCGAGGCTGCGCGAGGAGCGGCGCGGCGGGGCAGACATCGCGAGAAAAAGAATTCGCGGCGCCGCTCCGAAGAAGCTGCGAGAGCAAGGGAGCGGCAGGCGGCGGCGCCGTCGCAGAACGAGGCAGAGGAGAGCGACGCGACAGAGGATGAAGCGACAGGAGAGAGAACGACGTGTGTGTGTGAGTGTGAGTGAGTGTGACACACACACACACACAGAGAACGACGAGAGTGGGACGACCGCGAGGTGGCATGAAGGTTGCAGCGAGAATTGGCGAGGGACTGCGAAGAGAGATAGGAAGAAGCAGACGCCCAATGCCTTTTGTGGTGCTAGAGTTCGTGCCAGTCTGCTGTAGAAGGCGGCCGCGCGGGCGGCGGAGAAGGCGGCGCGGGCAGCGGAGGGGGGGAAGGGCGGCGGCAGCGGGCGGCAGTCCCGCGAGGCACGCCGGCGGAAGGGTTCGTCTTCGCGGGGCGGGGTGCGCACTGCGCGCCGCGAGGATGAGGAGCCTGAGCCAGGGGAGGGTTGGGAAGGGGGGGCGAGGCCGGAGGAGTAAGTATGACGGCCTCTTCGACGGCCCATAAGGGGCCGTTGTCTGCTGTGCCGTTTGTGGTGCTAGTTCGTGCCAGTCTGCTGTGAGAGGGAGGGGCGATGGTAGAATTCTTTTTCGAAAATCAATAATGCCGCTCGCCTCGCTGCTCTTGTCAGTTGCGAGCAATGCCAGGCCAATCACTGGCCCGTGGCCTCAGGCCTTTCCGGCCAAGGACCTCTGCTCCAACTGCGGCCTCTGCCGCAGCGCCACGGGCGTCACGTCCGTCACGGAGGCGTGCGCCTTCATCGGCGACGGCATGGCAAGAGCGGAGCGGCTCGAGGAGCCGGTGCACGGCCGAGCACGCCGCTTCGACGCCGCCGCCGACG